GCCCACTTCCTTCCTTCCTTCTGCACTGCCTACCTCCTATTCCCTCCTTATCCTGGGTCCCCCGCCTCGGCTCTTTCTGCTTCCCTTTCAGGGCACAGACCAGGGATATTACTCTTAGCAGAAGAATTTGCATTTTTCATTCTTAGAGATGCCAAAAGGTGGATCTCTAATGCGGCAGCTTGACAGGGTGAGAGAGGGATAGAGTTTCCCCACTCTACCAGTAGATATACCTACGAGAAGGCCAGCCCTGGAGGGAGGCCATTCCATCCTGGAAGAAAGATGGCTGCTCCCTGGCTGGGTCACCTCAGCACCTTCGTTTAGATGAGCTCAGTATCAAAGAATCCTGCAAAGTCTGAACAGAGAAGAGTGTACACAGACCAGTGAGGGGAGACATAGCCCTGAGAGAAATGACTAGAGATCCTGGGAATGTCAGTCCAAGGAAGAGGTTTTAATTCAACTCACATTTACTAGTTGTGTTGAGTTGATTCCAACTCATGTAGACCCCATGCATGTCAGGGTAGAACTGTGCTCCGTAGGGTTTTCGACAGCTGATTTTTCAGCAGTAGATCACCAGGACTTTTTTCCAGTGCGTCTCTGGGTGGACTCAAACCTCTGAACCTTTAACCTTTTGGTTAACAGCCAAGCACATTAACCATTTGCACCACCCCAGGATTCCAGGACACACATTTATGGGGTCCTATTTATGTATGTGCATAGCTCCACGGCAGGTGCTGGGGAAAGGTGCCTGCAAGATGACCAGGAAGAGACAAAGCAGCTATTTTCAAATACTAGAAGTACTCTCAAGCAGAGGAGGGAAAAGGAGCTAAAAAGAGAAAAAGAGCTAGCATCTAATGAGCATTTCCTGTGTCAGGAAACTACATTTAATTCGTATTTAATTGTCACAAAAATGCTATGAAGTGTTATCTCATTTGGAGGAAACTGAGACTCAAGGAGGTTAAATTAGTCACCTGAGATTATAATGCAGTCAAGTACCACGGCAGGACATGAGGTGGGCAGCGTCAGGTCTCGGGGAGGTCTCTGCGTTAAAGCAGCTTCTGCAGTTTGAAATCCCCAGGCCATAAGCCCAGGTGCGGGGTGCTGAACAGTCTCCTGTTCTCCACCCTTCACCTCACGCCTGTCCACCCGCATTGAGCAGTCTTTTCTACATCTGAGAAAGTGAAGATACTCGCTTTTTGTATACCTAATGGACTGGCCTCATCAGCATGCCTACCAGTTAACCATTTCAAGACCCAATTATTTTCTGCTTCAAACTTTTTTCCCCTTTATTTATACCATGTGTTTTCATTAGTGGAAGCATGCTGAGTCGTGGAATGTGTTTGAATATTTGGCTGGTAATATGGATTTTGAAAAATGCTGTGTGGGAATACATGGTTACCACAAAACTCAGAGGGTTCTCAGGCACCATGATTGGTGGGTGCTCATCTTTCCCACTATTCATGGGAGGCAGGATTTATTATGGGATGTCTTCCATTAGGTTACATGGGGAACCTCTGGTTTTCCAAATATTACACACATAAAACCCACCAGAGCTCCCTAGCTACCACACAGAAAACCATAAATACGCTTACAATGCTTACAAAAGCCAAAAGAGACACAATGTTTACTCCATCACACTTCCTGGATGCATGACTTCACTTTTAAGCCTGATAGCCCAGCTATTTTGCTTCAATGAACGTTTCTTTCACCTTTCACCCTTACTCAAGTCCCCACTGGAGGGCAGCAAATACTTTCAGTGGGAAAAGTAGGGTCCCAAAAGACCTGAGAAGCGGAAAAATGGATGGGATACCGCATGTCCCACAGGTCATGAAAGGGTTTTAAACTGGCATGTCCACAAGTAAATCAGGGGGAAGCCAGTGCTCAGATCTATGGAGATGCTGCAGCACGGTGCGGGGGTGGGGGGCGCTGATTTAATCACCTATCAAGGACACCGCCAAGTGGATTCTGGCAATGAGTGGGAAACTGTGTAGAGAGAATAGGTGCTGGAATTAGAAAGAATCCCAGCTCTGTGCTTTCCTAGTTCGGAGCCAGTTACTTCATCTCTTTGAGCCTTCATTTCCCCAACTCTTCATGGGAAACGTTAGACAGATGGAAAGGTAGCTGCTGTCAAGTTGACTGCAACTCATGGTAACCTTGTGTACAAAGATCAAAAAGTTGCCCAGTCCTGGGTCGTCCTCATGATTACTGGCATGTCCAAGTCCATCGCTGCAGGAATTGTGCCAATCCATCTCACTAAGCAGTTCCCTCACCCTCGCTGGCCCTCTGCTTCACCAAACACGGTGTCCTATTCTAGTGATTGATCCCTCCTGATGACATGTCCAAAGCAAGTGAGTGGGACAATGTTCTGTTGTGATCGATAACATTTTCATTGGCTAATTTTCATAAGTAGATTGCCAGGCCTTTCTTCCTAGTCTGTTTTAGTCTGGAAGTTCCTCTAAACCCTGTCCACCATGGGTGACCCTGCTGGTATTTGAAATACTGGTGGCATAGCTTCCAGCATCACAGCAACACACAAGCCACCAAATTGACAGACAGACGGTGGGTGGGTGATAATAAAGCCTTCCTAATGCAGCTAGTGTAAGAATTAAAGAAATGTATTCAAAGAACCTATTAGGTGGTAGATACTCAATACATGCTCTCTGCCCTTATAGCTCCAAGCTTCTAAACCTCTTCTCCTGTTAGGGACTGTGCACTGCAAGCATCCTCCTAGACACTAGCAAAGCTGGGAAGCCCTGCCTATCCCAATGTCTAAAAGACAAAATTAGAGCTAGTTCTTTGGCTTATGACTTATTATTTATAATTTTACAAAGAATTTTTCAAGGACCTTCTCTTCCCTTAATGTTATCAGTAGGCCTTCTCAGTCATTTACACCTCGGTGTGAATGAGTTTGAGATATTTTCCCTAAGAGCAGTTGTAGCAAAGACAGAGGAAAATGGCGCCAGTCTCCCAGGAAGTAGGGGAGAAACCAACCTCACAAATTTGAAGGACTGATGAGTCCTGCAAATCCTCTGCCCTTTTTAATGCTCCCTTTCCCGTCCCCCCTCCCCCCATTTTATCAGTATGCGAAGCTTTTTACCAGGAGGCAAGGCAAAAGGCACATTTTCCAGTAAAGTGGAAAGTTACTTTGGATCACTTTTGAACAAACTATCTAGATTTATTGATTAAAAATTTATTGTGTTTGGGGAGAAACTTCTTGTTTACACATCCACCCGAGTCTCAACAAAACCTAAGTCTATAATCGCGATTACAGATTTCACCAGGATTCTCTTTAGAAAATAATGCACAGTCTAAATAGAAACGAAGCCCTTTCAGGAAACAGTTGGCTAGTCAGGAGATACAAGGTTTAATCTTCAACATACAATAATGAAGCTGTGAGTTCTTTAGCTCCCGCCTTGAATACTAGGGGCAAGGCTAGCTACTAGCTGGATAAGTAGAATAGTGAATGGCTGAAAACAACTTTTCGCCTTCTCAGCTCAGAAGGGCTGGGGTTATAAAATAGGTTCTTGTGAAGAAATAAAGAGGGCTTTAACTGTTTAGGTTGCAAAAAGGATGTTGATTTCACTTCCTTCCTTTTGTTTTCTGCAAACCACTGAGACCAGTAACTGAATTTGCTTCACTTTTCGGGAGCACATGTCATTGTGTGGCTGAAATCAGTCTGTGCTGACAACAACTCTCCTTTTGGGACCTGCTTGTTAAGTAACACTATGAAGGTTCTCTGTCTTGCTGAGGGTGATTTCCTGGTAAGCAGTGAATGGAATCAGAAGAATCGCTGGCTTTTACCTTCTCTCTTCTCCTTCTGCCCCCTGCCCTTACCTATATTGTGTGGTCGGCACTGGCAAAGCATCAAGGGCTGACTGACAGGAGAGCAGTGGAAGACATTGTTCACAACTCCTGGAAAATACTCGAGTGAAGCAGGATAAAAGAGGCTCCCAGGGACCAGAAACCTTATGACTGTCCATTCTACACAAGTTCAATGCTGTGGGTTCACATTAATTTCGCCATCTTGGCGTAGATGACACATTCTAAGCTTATTAAACATTATTCCAAACTATTACGCATTTACCCAAAGCATAGAACTTTCAGTGTATAAACTTCACGGACAATTCTTTACAACCTTTAGTAAAATGAAATTATTTATACCTAGGGAATCTTTGAGTAGGGGTTTTTGTTTGTTTTTTTTAATCCAGTTAAAACCAATCGTTGCCACACGTGACATTAGTTAAACATATAGTTTTCTGTTCACAAATGGTTCATCTCCAGCTAGGAATTCAGGACTCAGAGGATGCTGGAACATGCAGCAAGACGAAAGCCTGTGTCAGTTAAGAAAACTGTGCGGTCTCTTGTTAACAGCTGAGGAAATCTCTGGACAAAACCCTTAAGAGGTTCTTAAAATCAGTCCTTCATTTAAACCTAGAGAGTTCTAATAACTGCCTAATTAAAGATCTTTAGAGATTAGCTTAAGTCAGATGGAAAAAATGATACAAAATCAAAGCTGGAGTGCTGCGCGGTGTGCTGTTTCGACCTGGTGCAATTTCTAACGTATTAAAAGTCAAGTGATCCGCCAGCACAATCTTTGCCAAGCACTTGTGATGATGGGCTGTTTCTCGCCATCCGTATTTATCAACTGCCAATTGCTTGTGGGGATTGAGCAGGTTATAAATCAATTAACCAATGAGAGAAATTTCAAATGACTGACTTTTAAATCACAAAAGCCGTTTTAGAGTCTGAGTAAATCCCTGAAATGAAGAAAGCACCTCATTCCCCCTGGTCGTCCCTCCCGCGTTACCCTTTGTGGATAAATGAAATGAGTACCCAAAAACGTAACATTGTGACCCCCAACATAGCCACGCAGCCTGGTAGAAACCTGTTGTTTCCTGGAAGAAGTGAATCTAATAACTTACTTCCAAACGAAACAAAAACTCTCCGCCGGGAGCTAGGCAGACGGGGAAGTGCTATTCAGTCAGAATTTAGGAAGTACTTACAATCATTATAAACGTGCCCAAGAACTCAGCGAGGGTTTCTTTAGCCAAGCTGCTCTTCAAGGCCAGCTTCTGCTTGAAGCTCCTGCCCGGCTGTTGCGTCTCAGGCTGCATCTCCGGGCTTCTTGCGGGTCCACCCTCTCCACCAGTGTCTGCTGGTTCAGTGTCTTCTGGTGCCGGCCCTCACGGCCTTGACCGCTGCTGCCAGATTCCTGGAGATGTCTGCTGAGTGTCTGACTCTTCAAATGCTGTCCCAGTTAGAGGCTGTGACCTAATCCTCTTCTGGTGAAGCTGTCTTTCCCTGTTCTTCTGCTGTTTGCTTGAAAGCCCCAAAATGAGCCTCTTTGTGACCAACAGATTAATCATTACCTTTATTCTCGGGATATTGTTTCTCCTTTTTTTTCACGAGATGAGAAAAGAGATGTTGTGCTGGTTGCCTGGCCAAACCACAGCGATGGGCCCCGGTCCAGATTCACGGGTTGCACAACAGCGGGCCGTGGATTTTTTTTTTTCCTTTTTCTGAAGTGGGTGGTTGGGGTGCAGTTTGGAATCGTCTAATCAATGACATAGATGTCTAGTGTCAAACACCCTTTCCTACAACAGTTTTCGCAGAAACGAGAAACTAAGACAACATAGATTAGTTGTTTCACAGGTTTAGTCCCTCCTCTTTTCTTCCAGGCACTTCAGTGACTTCACGGCAGCACCCTGAGGCTGAAAAGAACCACTGCATCCACTTTAGAGGTGGAGAAATTAACCTACAATGGGACCATCGCCAAGTCTGTAGGACAGGATGGACGTCGTCCTCAGCTGAGGGTAGTTTGGGATCCAAGAATCAGCAAGACGGATCAGGCAACTTCTTGAGCTGCATGATAAGTCTTCCTTCTGAAGAAGCGTTCAACTTTGGAAACCAAGTCAATTTTCTTTATAGGTTGTTGATGTTGTTAGTTGCTGTCAAGTCGGTTTTGACTCCTGGAGACCCCTCGAGCGTACAGTAGAGCCGCTCCGTAGGGCTTTCAAGGTTGTGACCTTTCGGAAGCAGATCACCAGGCCTGTCTTCAGAGGTTGTGTGTGTTTGAACCGCCAACCTTTCAGCTAGTAGTCAAGGGCTTAAGCGTCTGCACAGCCCGGGGACTCTCTTCCTTGTTCACCACGCAATATTTAGACAAAATACATAGGAAAGAAATGGTAGCAGCTGAAAATTATATACTGAGAAGAGATCACTGAGTCAGAGGGAGATCGATCTGAATATACGTCACTCCAGCGAAACAAAAATGAGGGGGTAAATATATCTAAACAAAGATATTGGGCGATTCCATTTGTCACCCCAATTGAGCAAGAAAGAGGGAGTAAATATACCTCACCACAGCTGTTGGGTTATACCACTCGGGTTCGATGAATTGACATCCTCGCAGGCTGCAAACTGTTCTTGAGGCGAGGTTCTCGTCCTTGTCAAATATTCAAATGGTGTTTTCAAAGCTGGTTTGTCTGAAGAAATCGAATCTAGCAGTAGCATCTGATACTACAGGCAGGCCCCTGGAATTAGTACTCACGCTGTGTCCTCCCTCCCAACCCTCCCACAGAGAAGCTGGCTCTGTTTCAGACCCGCCCCTACGTTTGCAGGAGGCTGTCATTTCCAGCTGAGGCAAGAAGGGAGGGTGGACAGTAAGTGGAGAAATCAGCTGCCGAGGGCCCATGGGCAAAAGGAGATGCCTAATCTGCAGCTGAGACTTAGGGTTTAAGCTTAGAGAAGTTGTGGCTTGCCCGAGGACAGGCATTACAGAGCCAGGACAAGCATCCGCTCATGCTTAAGTTATCATGGACACTTTATCCAGAAGAGCTTCTGTGACCACACTTTTCCCACGTCCCAGTGGATGGACCAGAGAAACAGGACTTTACTATCATGACTTCAACTCATAGTGAATGGTCTCTCAGTTTGCTCACCTGACAAACATTTATGGCCTACTCATTATCTGCCAAGCACTGCACTTAGCAGAAGCACATAGAGTTCTCGCTCTCCACAGAGCTTAGAGGTTAGTGAGAAAGTAAACACCAGGGAAATAAGCACACGTACAAACATATAAAGTCACACTGAGATGCATGCTCTAAGGATGGGGCCATGTTTCAAAGACGGAACATAACACCGGGACTTCATCTTACCAGATGGACCTCTGATGGCTTCTCCCAGGAAGTCATGCCTGAACTAAGAGGAGAAGGAAGCGTGGGCTTGGCTCCGTGAAGAGGGAAGGATGTGCATATACAGAGGCCTCAGGCAGAGGAGCAGGGACACCATGGTGCTTATTAAGGAATAGAAGAAACCCAGTCGCTGGCCCACAACAGAGAGTCCTGGACAGAGGAGGAGAAAAAGGCAGAACAGAGCTCAAATTCACGTCAAAAGACCAGACTTAATGGTGTGACAGAGACTGGCGGAACCCCCAGTACTATGGCCCCCAGATGCTCTGTTAACCCAGAACTGAATCCATTCCCAAAGCCCACTTTTCAGACAGATTAGACAGGACTATAAAACAGAAAACAATACATGTGAGGAACGTGCTTCTTAGTTCAATCAGCTATACGAGACCAAATGGGCAGCTCCTGTCCAAAAGCAGGAAGAGAATGCAGGAAGGGACAGCAATGGGATGAATGGACACAGGGAACCCGGGATGGAAAGGGGGAGGGTGCTGTCACATTGTGGGGATTGCTACTAATGTCACAAAACAGTATGTGTATAAATTTTTGAGTGAGAAAATAACTTGAGCTGTAAACTTTCACCTAAAGCACAATAAAAAGAAAGAAGAAAGAAAACGCCTGCGACTGGCGCCCAGAGAGAGCGGGGCAGCATGGCCCAAAATGAGGCTGCAGCAGTGGGCCAGGCTCAGGCCGCCTGAGCCTCATGGGCTGCGCTGAGGGCTAAAAGCAATGAGAAGTCGCTGAGGTGGTTGAAGCAGCAGTGTGAACACAATCAGGTCTGACATTTGAAAAGATCATCCTGACGTTGAGACGGAGAGGGGCCTGAAGGGGGCCTGAAGGAGGCATGGGATTCCTGGGTGGTACAATGGTTAGCATACCTGGCTGCTACCAAAAGGTTAGAGGTTTGAGCCCACTCAGAGGTACCTGGGAAGAAAGGCCTGGCGATCTAGTTCTGACAAACAGCCACTGGAAACCTTATGGAGCACATTTCTGACACAGTGTCTCCATGAATCAGAAGTGACTCAACAGGGCAACTGGGTTACTGGCTAAAGTGGGTGTATGTAGATGAGTTAGGGGGTATTTGGGAATTCCAGGACTGGGTGGTGGCTCTGATAATAGAGAGAAGTGGAAGGATTCAAGATTTATATCTTTTTTTTTTTAAGTTATATGTTTTTTTCATTGTACTTCAGGTGAAGGTTTACAGAACAAATAGTTTCTCATTAAACAGTCAGTACACATATTGTTTTATGACATTGGTTAACAACCCCACGAC